ACGGCACGGATAATTTTCATTTAAATTAGTTGATTTCTGCAATGCTAAAATATATACTGCCTGTAAAAGCACAGGGGACAAAATTCTGTTTCATTTTTGTTAAATGATTGTTGCAAATAATTCTCCCTACCTTCTAAACAAACCTAGCCTTGACCTTACATAACCTTCAGCTATGATTCTCCGCCCATTACTCTGTTCCTTGTTATCAAAGCATATCAGAGGAGTGGTCTATACTGCTAATCTGGTTTCCTTTCTTCCCTCTTTCTCTTGAAAACACTCTAATCAGGTCTTCATCCCCATTACTCTGTTGAAATCTTATTTTCTTAGATCACCACTGGCTTCTGTATTACCAAATAAGTCAATCATCAGCCTCCCTATTACTTGACCTATGAGAAATGTTTGATGTTGTTGGTCATTCCCCTTCTCAAAACACTCGAGTCCATTGATTTCCAGGGAATATACCTCTCCTAGACTTCCTCCAACCGCACTAGCTCATCTTTCTCAGTTTCATGTGTTGGGTCCTTCTGTCCTTCTGACCTCTGTATTGAAAGAGCCAAACAACCTTTGTTTCTTTCACTAACACCTCACTGTTAAACTTTCTGTGACAAAGCAACTGCACTTCAAATCATGTTGAATATTTTCGTGGCAAATGTAGTATATCAAAATAAACATGAAGCTCTGGTTTGACAAATGGCATCTCCATAGTTAGAGTTCCTCTGCAGCTAGTTTGCATGCTACTGAAACCTCACACAGACCATGAAAGGCAGTCTATACTTGAAGGCAGAGAAGTGTACGCTCATGGAGATTCCGCCTGGCTTCCAAACATCACCCAGCTTCCATTGGTCCTGCCTGGGCTTCCCACCATTGTGGTGTTTTTGGTCATCTGAGAAATGAGCTCTTCCAGCAGCTCATAGACCTCTATCCATGGAAGTGGGCGGCTGTGCTGCTGACTACTAAAGTGGATTCCACATGCCTGAGGATATTTATGGTTGAGGCGGAGCAATGACTGCCCCATGTCCCTCATATTGTAGATACCTACAAGTACAGAGGGGTGTACCAGTAGGCCCCAGTCACCTTGTGGCACCCTGCAGGAAGCCCATATGAAGCAGTTTACCGATAGAGGTGACTGACTTAACTGGTCTGCCCCAAGTGTCCCTGACTGCCCTGGCAGGGACACACTTGTAGCATGCATGGCACATCCGAAGGCTTTGGGTTACGCATGTGCTTTGGCACACCAGTTGGAAATGTCTGGGAAAGAAAACCTAACCAGGAAGTCTTGCGGATCTGTTTCATTTGGACCTCAGTGGGTTAACTTTAGGAGTTTCGTTTGTTTAGTTGATATGGTCATTGACATTTAAAAATGCAAATTCTGTCAAGGTAACCCCTGCTGTTGCTGAGACAGAGTGAGACTTTGTATCCCCAGTTCATCATTCTAGCCCCCCATTTTGCCTCTTCAATACTGGGGTCATGTGTCCTCCCACATTTATCTACACACTTAAAAATATTTTTCTTGTAGTAAAGTCAGAAAGCAAGTCAGTATTTCTTTCATTCATGTCTGCTAAAATGGGAAATATGATGATAGACACAAAATTCATATTTTAAGAAAAATAGGAACAGTCGTATTTCTTGGTCGAGGTGAAAATTTTCCTATGTGTTCTAAACAAAGTGTGTATTGAAATAATAGAAATCAAATGAGATTTAGAGATGAAGAAAAGTTTGGCAACATACTGTGTAGGCAAGAGTGTGCTACTTCTAGATTGCTGGCACAACTTCTGTGGCGAGCAATAGGGCAACGTTTCTCAAAGTTAAAATGCTCACGTTTTGATCTAGCAATTCCAGTTGTCAACATTTATGCTCCAATTATACTTTGCACATGTAACATGACATGTACAAAATTATTCTCAGCAACATTGTGAGAAATCTCGATGAGGGAAAAGGGTGTAGACCTGACCTGATTAAAGTGGAAATGCCAGCCAAAGACTCTTTGGCACATGGCACCTCCATGGAGCAATTTTTCAGGAATAGCCTGTCAGTTGCACTTATGGTTAAAATCTGAGAGTTTTCCAAAGACTCCATTAATAACTGAAATTGTTTTTCTCTAATGATATATCCAGCTGTCCAAAGGCAGAAGATCCCAATAGTCCTCTGTGAGCTGCCCACTTATCAGCAGCGTTTCCACCAGGAGTGGAAAATAGTTCACATTTTTTCACAGTTGACATCTTTTTGTTTTGCCTTCTTCCCTGTTTCCTTTTCCTGTCATATAAATTGTTTCTTTTCCTTCTGTTACCCCTTCTGTACACATATAAAATAGCATGCTAATGTTAATGTCATCATTATGATTGATTTATTATTTAATACTATAATACTGAAAGATTAGAAATAGTCTTTCACAAAGGAACTGGTCAAAAAGTTGTAAAGAGTGAAAGCAGTGGCACAGGTGGCAAGCAATGTCCTGGACATAAAAAGGCAGAGATAAAGGGACTGATAACTAGAATATACTTAGAACTAACGAAAATTAGGAAGAAAAAATCAAATAACCCCATTAAAAAGTGGGCAAAGGTTGAAAGAAATTTTCTAAAGAAGACAGAAGAATGGCCAACAAACATATGAAGAAATGCTCAACATCTCTAATCATCAGGGAAATGCAAATCAAAACCACAATGAGATATCACTTAACCCCAGTGAGAATGGCCTTTATCAAAAAATCTCCAAACAATAAATGCTGGCGTGGTTGCGGAGAGAGAGGAACACTCCTACACTGCTGGTGGGACTGCAAACTAGTTCAACCTCTGTGGAAGCAATATGGAGATACCTTAAAGCGATACAAGTGAATCTACCATTTGATCCAGCAATCCCATTGCTGGGCATCTACCCAAATGATCCAGTGACACTCTACAAAAAAGACACCTGCACTCGAATGTTTATAGCAGCACAATTCATAATTGCAAGGCTTGGAAACAGCCCAAGTGCCCATCAATCCAAGAATGGATTAATAAAATGTGGTATATGTATACCATGGAGTACTATTCAGCTCTAAGAAACAATGGTGATATAGCACATCTTATATTTTCCTGGCTAGAGCTGGAACCCATACTAGTAAGTGAAGTATCCCAAGAATGGAAAAACAAGCACCAGATATATTCTCCAGCAAACTGGTATTAACTGAGTAGCACCTAAGTGGACACATAGGTGCTACAGTAACAGGGTATTGGGGAGGTGGGAGGGGAGGGGCGGTATATACATACATAATGAGTGAGATGTGCACCATCTGGGGGATGGTCATAATGGAGACTCAGACTTTTGGGGGGGGGGGAAAATGGGCATTTATTGAAACCTTAAAATCTGTACCCCCATAATATGCCAAAATAAAAAAAAAATTAAAAAAAAAAAGGCAGAGATATTTTTTCTTTTGATCCCCCTAGTCATGATGTACGGAAGTGGCCCCTATTGCACATGCTGGGAGAAGGCAGAAGAGACCCACAAAACTGCAAGGGGAGTGGTGATTGGATTTGTGATTGGGCTCAACGCCAAGCACATGTGGCCATGGGATACGATTGCTTTCAGGCTTGAAGTGTCCCTTGATCTAAGCATTCTAGAACTGTGAATGTGTCATGAGGCTCTGTATAGTAAACATTAATTAAGGAGCATGAAATTATTTATACATTTCGTTTGTCTCCTCTTGACCCTAACATCAGTTCCTTTGTGGGCAGGGACTATGTACGTGTATTACTGACATATCCCTAAGATTCGTTGTGAGAGTCTGGCACTTGGTAGAGTGTTCACTGATGGATGAGCTCGCAGTTTCAATATGGAGCAATCCGTATCTGGTAGTATTTGTGGTCACAATCACAAGTTTTAAAGGTGTAATTCTGAGATCTACTAGTAAGAACAAAGTAGCCAAACAGCAACCATGCGACTCATTTGCCAAGGTTGAGGCCTTGCTGCAGACTTTGGCTTCAGCATCCCTGCTTGGGCATATCTGAACTACAGCTCTAGTCAAAAGATAATTCTATCTGGGATTCAACCTTTAGATTGAATGAGCCAGTGAGCCCTGGTCTTGCTTCTTTTTTCTTTTTTCCATGTTGTTATTGTTTAATATTAACACAGGAAGAAGAACACCAAGAAAGAAAGGATAGGGCTTGATCTACTTAATTGAAAATATGAGAATATATGTGAGCTTATTTTCTTTCCCAACTTAATACAATGATATATGCACATGCATGCACACATATGCTATTTGTTTTCCATTTTTAAAATTTTTGTTTCTGTTGGGACTGAAAAAAATAATGTAATATTTACAGTAAAATTTCAAATTACTTGCAATAGTTTTTATAATACTCATAATTTATACTGCCATTTTTATATTTATAAATTTTTTATCAAATAATAAAGTCCTTGTTAATATACATAATATATATTCATTACATTCATCCATTACTTTATATTCTATTAACTTACTCTTTTATCAGCCAAAGAATACTTATGCAGAACTAACTTATAAACTAGAAATGTCAAGATGTATAAAATAGAGTTCCTTTCCCATAAAGCTCTCCTTTAAGTTGGAAAACAGATATGTATACTTACAAAGATGGGGTCTTCAATAACAGCTATTTAAAGTAAGGAAACAGTGCAGAGAAGAGAGCAATTTAGTTCTTCTGAGTGTGTGCAGGATGGGTAGGAATCACCAAAGACTTTCCTCAAAGGGGATACATGAATACCATAGGGCTAATTATTTTAAAAAGCTAAATGTCTATGCATACAAAAATATAACTGAACACCACTTAACCTCTCAAAGGGGATTAGTTTCATCATACCTATTTCAGACCAATAGATTTTATTACAGTGCATGTAACTGCAATTCTGTCAGAAATCATGATTTAGTTTAAAAGCTTAAAAAAAAAAAACACCCTAAAGCTTATTTCAAACACTAGGTGGGTAAGACTCTCTCATGTGAAGGGAAGAGTTAGAAGGCTTGGCTGAATTGTTGTTTTTTCACTCAGCATTCAATCTAGGCTTAAGCCATGAGCATATGGCCTTCTCCTAGCAACTGTAATTGGATCAATGCTGAGTCATCTGGGATGAGCAAGCTGGTCCAGTCAGACCAAAAGAAGAGATATTCCATAATTAGGGGAGAAGTTTGCTCCACATCTTTCCTACATGAGTAAGTAAGCATTGTTATGTTTATCTTTTGGTGTGCATTTTTTAAATTGTTGTAAAATATACATAAAATTTATCATCTTCACCATTTTTAAGTGTACAGTTCAGAAGTGTAGGTTATATTCACATTGATGTGCAACTCATCTCAAGAATTCTCATCTTGCAAAAACTGAAATTCTATACCCATTAAACAACTCCTCTGTCTTATAATTCTGGCAATATAAAAAGGCTTCTAGTTTTATTTATAAAATTTATCTACAGCAATGTGACCTTACAAAGTGATTCATGATTTTTATCTTGTACATGCACTGCAGCTAGGGTAATGCTGTGTGTGAAAACTTCGAAGTGGCTATCTCAAAGTCTATTACCTAAACTGCTCAGTTTTTTAACGGTCTAATACTAGATATAAGATGTCTGAATAATTCCTTAAATATTATGAATTATTCACTTTTATAAATTTAATGAAGTCTACCACTTCTAATAAGGATATTGGCTACAATTATAATGAATATTATTTACCAAAGTAAACATTTGTAAAGAAATTTCTCAATAGATTATAGTTGCAGGATCAAAAATTATTAGAAAGTTATATTAGTGTAGAAATATGTTCATGATATATTATTGAGTGGGAAAATCGGGTTACCAAAATATATAGTATGATCTCATTTTTATTTCAAAGAATAAAAGGTATGTGTATGCTTGAATATATGCATATATTATATGTGTATATACACATGGTATATACACACCATGAGAAAGAGACACACACACACACACACATACACACAACAAAGGGAACTATCTCTTCCTTCTTCATTCTCATTTTAATTTCAGCTATAGGGGAAAGTACACTGGAAGATAACTGGAAGAGTACAAAATAATATGTTAATTATAATTATCTTTGGGAGATGGGAGCACTGGTGACTTTTATTTGCATTTTCTAATTAATTATATAATTATATTATCTTTGTAATTTGTGTAATAAGTCAGTTTTATATCCAAATTTTTAGCCCTTTCTAATAAAAGGTATACCGATATAATATGATTATTTCATCTTTAGCCGACAAATAAAACTCACACCACATTTCCTAACACTATGAAATAAAATGTTGGCACATAGTCAATAATATCATCCAAATAAATCTTGAATGGTTGACTTTAATAAATTAAGCATTACATGAAAACATGCTACCAAAAAAGACATTAAATATCTCCATAATTCTTAAATTACCCTATATTCAAAACCAAGAATTATACATATCCAAGTTAACATTATACAATTACATGTAACATACATAATTCAAAATGGCAGAATCACATGAAATTTTAAAGTAAAAATGACCCGAGAAGCCTCCAGTTTAGCATTTACACAGAACTTTATTATTCTATCAACCAGGGTAAATAGGAACTAGGAAAGTTGATAATATCTTTGTGTAGAATGGAGGCATATGGATTTAAACACCTTTTTATATAGCACTATTAAAATCAGAGCCAAGATGGGAGAAATCTAAGTTTCTTGTACTAGTTTAATCTTGGGAATGATTAAGACTAACATGCAATTTCCCCTATTTTGTGAAATTTCTTTTCTCTATTGTATTTCAGCCCATGATGCGGGATTTAAGAAACTTCATTATTTCCCACACTCTATATGGTAGTGTAGGTACCCAAACAACTTTGATCTTGTGGATAGTTATGGTGAAAGCAGTCGAGGACTAAGGAAACGGATGAGAGGACATTAAATTAATTAATAATGACCACAGTTATGAAAGTTAGTGTGAAAGTTTTATCAGATTATCAAAATTGTGCAACGCTGAGCAGAATACAACTATAAAACCCAATACCAAAGTTCTAACTCTAGATGTCCTATAGTGAGTTGTATGAGATTAGGCAAGTCAGAGTCCTTGGAAATCAGTTTCTTCAGCTTAGAAGCAAAAGAGTTTAGACCAGGTTTATTAAAATCTCGTACAGATGCATAGTTGTATCACTCTAAAGAACGTATACCTGCAGACACCTCACTAATATCATGTACAGTTTTGGCAACACTGAAAAAGATCAGTTTCAATACAACTTAAAATGATAAATGAACTAATATTTTCCACATATGAGGCAAATATAAACCCCTATTGTTATGCCATGAATAGTTATTTTCTTTCATTAAGAAGACTTTGACCTGCTGATCTAAAATGCCATTTTTTAAAATTTATGTAGCATTACCATCCTCTTGGTTATTATGAATCTTAAATTCTGTATATAGTATTAATGTTTAAATTTATCAACAAATAGGCTAAGGAAACTTGTTTTCAGTAATGTTTTAAAATATTCATAAAATTCTTATTTTCATAACTTTGAAATCTCAGCATTCTTCAAGTGATCAATGCAATTTACAAAACTGGATGTTTAATATGAAAGTCTATAGGCTTTTAGTGTCCTTAATTTGAATTAAATATTCCCTTATATTATAAATCAATGAAAACCTAGTGAGTAAATATCTATATTGATATACTTTCTAAGGAAATATGAGGAAATCTTACCCCTGAAGTAAATATATTCAAATGAATACTTCTATAGAGCTTGATTTTCCTGTTTGCAAAGATCTGAGAAAGTAATAGCACTGTCTTTTTACCCATCTCCAAAAACTCAAGCTTTATTACTGCTAGAAGAGGTGATTTCATTTAACTAGATAAATTCTGTACAGGTTGCTATAAACAGGAAATAATATACTATTTATCACTGTAAGATCAAAGTCCCCATTCATATTTAAGGGAAATGACTTGGGTCTATGCAAACGCCTTAATTTCTCATGTCATCTTACCTCAGATGCAATCCTAAGAAATTAGTATTTAGTTTTCTCTTAAGGAGGGCCCTAATACAAGGCACCTCTATATTCTCTTTTGAGTGGTACAGCCTAGACTTCCAGCAAGGTAGAGATTTCTTCTTGTACGCTAAAAATGTAAAATAACCATTATCAACTCTGTTAACCTTTTCATGTTCATGAAGTGGGGAAATGCAGGGCTCACGATGGTAAATAAATGATGTCAACAATGAACATTTAAGTCCTTATTGTGCCAAACACTTTACATTAATTTACTAATATCATGCAATTCTCACAACAACCTAAGAGGTAATAACGGTTAGCCACTAAATATGATAATGTAGAAGAAAATGATCTGGAGGGTAAATAATTAATGTGAAATCTATGACACATAGGTTCATGATATCATATTCCCAAAAGTAGCTGTACCTTTCTCAATTTTTCCTTTTACTTCCCTGGAATTTGAAAATATATTTTAACTCTGAATAGCTAATACAATACAATAAACACTTAAATCTATTCTGGTAGGCAGTTTGGTACTACGGCGACACACAAATGAATGAGAGGTCCTAAATCACATGCTGAGAATACACATTCTGGAAATAATTTCAATTTCATGAAGTATTCTCCTAGTTCTAGCAGTATAAAAGGTTTTCTAGTTTTATCTATGAAATTTCTCTTATTTGTCTATAGCACTGATATGATCTTACAAAATGATCCATGCCATCTTTCTTATCTTGTACCCATGCACTGTAAGGTTAATGCTCAGTGTGTGAAACCTGAGTGACTATCTCAAAGCCTATATTTACATAATCTGCTGAGTTTTTGACATTCTAATATTAGATACAAGATGTTTGAGTAATTCCTTAAATCTTATGAATTATTCCATTTTACAGATTTAATGAGGTCTACCATCTCTAATAACAAGCAGTGATTTCTTTTGGGAAAGATAATCTCGATAACAATACATGATTTGAGGCTCTAAAAGTCAAATGTGTTCACCAGGTTGGTATAATACAGAGATCTTAACAGAATTTACAATTCTCTGAGGCCACATGGGAATGTGAAAAAGAGCACAGGGATTGGGGGGGGGAGGAGGGGGGAAGGCAGACTCAGACAGACAGACTGAATCAGTTCTGATCCCAGCTCAGTCACACTCCAGATGTATGGCAAGTTATTTGGTTTCTCTGAATCTCAGTATTTTTGTCTGTAAATTGAAGCTGATATCACCTACTCTGAATAGTTACTATAAAGGTCCATCAGAGATGATGTCAAGTGCTCAAGAAATAGTAATTGTTCCTTCTCATCTATCATCTGTGCATTACATGATTGACTAGGTTGAATTCCAAAGACAAGAACATACATTTGGTCTGTCTTAAATTAGACCAGGTCAAGTATGAGACCAATTAATACAAAGACATGCAGAGATCAAATAAATAATTAAAAGTTTTCTACAAACTTACCTTCCCATACAGCTGTCTTCTAAATATAAGCTATAAAACTTTCAATTAGTTAAGAGGACAACTGCCTTAAGCACATGTATGGCTTTAGTCTGGAAATTAATTTCCATTAAGTATATTACTACCATGAAAATAATATCTTTAGGGTCACTGAAATTATAAATTGTGATAAAATCTAGAAAGAAAAATTTCAGAGATGGGTTCATTATAAAGTGCCTATGATTGTCATTTAAGCCTTGGAATAAAGTGCACTCATATTCAAACTTAAGGCAAAACTCTTAAATAAAATGCCTCAAAGACTAAAGTTCTACTGAACTATTACCTCAATTGACCAAAATTCTACCTTGCACAGTGTAAATGCAACTGCTTTGTGCTGAAAATCAGTTTTAGAGAAATAATATATGCACACTCCCAATGACAGACCATTTAAAAACCTGAGTCTAGATGCACATCATCCACAAATTGAATTGCTTCTATGATTATAGTACTTAGATGGTTTCATTTTTTATTATTGGTATTAAACATAGTTAAGTAACATACGGAGCTTAGTGAAGAGATCATGAATTACTCCACTGTGAGAATTACCAAGACATGATAAAGCTATATATATTTTAATGGTAAGAATAATATGATTATTACCTTTTCAATTGAGGCAGTTTATCTATGGTTCAAAAATGCTTTCACTGATTAAACTCCAGAGTGTCTTTTTCATTGTTAGCAGAAGTATCTGGCATTTAATTAAAATAGATTCTTCTAACTAAAAATAATTCAACAAATAATTTTAAATCCATGGATAAAGTTGGCAAATTGATAAATAGGTAAATAATATAAGAACTAGAATTATTAAAACACTTTTGAGAACACAGTTCTGCTTGGAGGGCTCCATGGAGGAAGTGCCTCATTTTCGAGAAAGGAATGACGTTTCTTTTGTTTTCGTTCAATTCTTTCCTGCTTTTCTTTAGTTTCCTAAAAAGCAAATAGAAAACTATACATTTATATACACATATGAAAATTATTTTCAAATCAAGTTGCTTATTGAAGAATAATCCATTATAAGATTTTATATCACTTCCTAATTTAATAGGTTATGAAGAAATAGCTAGAGAACATTGCCAACTTATAAGCATTAATATCACTTATCTTTTTAATATTAAATATTAAAAATGAATTGTGTAAAATGGAAAAAAAAGACCTACAATTCTACACCTTAAAGATAGTAATTACTAGAAGTTAATGAGGACTTCAGAGAATAGATTCTCAGAAGTAAATTTATTGGGTGCAAAGGTTGAATGTCCCATGGCAGCATGAGATACTTTGAATTTTTTACAAATAGTTAAAAATTCAGACTAATGTTTCCTTGCTTATTATTGAGCTTAAGCACATTTTCAAATGTTACTTTAGCCCTTTTGTGAATTTTCTACTCAATTATTTGGCCCATCTAACTGTATGGGTATCAGTGCTTCTAGTTTTTAGCAATTTGTATTTTTTCATATAAAAATATTGTTATCTTTGCATCAAACATTTTATCTACATTGCTTTTTCTAGTCATTTTTGATCCTTAAACAATGAACACATATATGGAAACATCACACTGTACTCCATAATTACATATATTGTGTCAATCAAAAATAAAAATAATTAAAAAGAATCCAAACACATAAATATGGTCCCTGTCACCCACGGAACTTTCAAAATAAATAAGAAAATAGACAACAGATAATTCCAACACATGTGAATTTCTTTGAAACATATTTAAAAAAAAAACTATGAGAGATTAAAGGGGAGTACTTACTTTCAAAGAAAAGTGGATTCAGGGAAAGTCACTTTAAAGTGAGACATGATGGATAAGAGGAGCCACTTGTGGTAAGTGCTGGGGGAGAGCATTTTAAGTGGAGAAAACAGGAGGGGTGAGGGTTCTGGCAAATGGGAAAAACTTGAGATGTGGGAGGAAACCAAAGAGAGCCAGTGTGACTAAGGCTTGGTGGGACATGGGAGACAGGAGATGGGAGCCAGATGACAACGTAAAGGTAGAAAGGTAAGATCATATGATATGAGGCCTCGTAGGCCAGTTAACATTTAGAGTGTAGGTAAAAGAATTCAACAAGCAACACAAAAGGCAGGCAGAGAGGTGAGAGGAAAACCTCTCTGGGAGGGCAGCATGCCAGCCAAAGGAGGAGACAGTTGCAAGAAGAGGAAGTCTATGGTGCAAACTGCAGAGACCTTCTGGTAAATGTGGACAGAAACGCACATTAGACTGCCTAGATGCAAACTTGTAACTTTCAAAGTGCAGTTTTAGTGTATTGATGAGGACAAGATTGGCGTGGGATGAGAATAAAAAGGACATGAAGAACTACAAAAGTGTAGGCAAAAATTTCTAGAAGTTTCACTATAAAGAAAAGCAGAGAAAAGTGAGACCATAGATGGAGGGAAATGCAGAGTTATGAGTTTATTTTTATTTAAGATTACTTGTCCTGGAAGCTGATGGGAATAATTCAGGAAGATAGAATACTGGAGTAGAATGGTAAATTTTTATTTTATTGCTTGACAGGAATAGACCTGCTTCATATTATTTTCAAAATATCATCTTCCATATTTTTACATTTTTATTACACAGATGAATTTGAGAACTATTTCATTTCCCTGCACATTCTCCCTTCAAATAAATGACTGAGTATCTGGGGATTAGTATGAAATCTAAACATTTATCTTGAAATGTTAGTAGTACTTAGTCTTTCCATCCTGTAATTTGGAGTGTCTCTCCATTTCTTTAAGTCTCTGTTAACACTACAAAGTTTGATGGTTTCCTCATATTCCTCAAAGAGCAGCAGTATCAAGGAAACCCTGGGACAACCCTGGCCCCTCAGGCAGATGGCTGGGGAGAAGAGGCATTAGGCTAAATTAGTAGGTGTCTACGCATCTTTCATGAGTACATCCATGTCCTTGCTCCACACTATGAGAATGTTTGCATGCTTGCTTGCTTGCTATTCCTATTAAAGTGAAGAGGGAACTTCCTTTTGGAAACTTAATTGAGAAAAGAAAAATTATAATGAGATCATAGTCAATCATTTTAGTATTTTTGAGAGAGGCAGACCATCCTTGTAGGTGGAGGAAAAGCAGTGACCAGGCTGTGTCCATAGAAATTGACTGAATAAACCTCTTTCTGTACATCCCACTTAATACGGAGACAGAGAGAGTCATTTGAAACAAGCTTGATCTTACTAGCAGGATGCTGAAAAGCCAGAATAGCAAATGGACAATTATTAACCTTAATATCAATTAACAGGAATCAATAATGTTACCTTGATAATAATTAAAAGAATCTGTTGAAAAATCTTTCTGACTGTCATCTGTGGGAGCTTGGAGCTTTTGCTCATTTTCTTAAAGGTAACTATGAATTTATTTCAGAACTGGCATGAAGAAGAGAGTTTTATCTGATCTTTGACTATAATTTTCCCCTAAAACAATTACCTACTAGATACTTAGTACTCAAGCTAGGTTGTGTATTAAAATGTTGAGATGTTATTTTGCATGAAAATTGAAGTCACTAGACTTCAATATAGGGGCATTTTCCAATTCTATCAGCAAACAAATTTTAATAAGAACTTGGTAAGATGGACAGTAGATCTGTAACATATATATTTGTTTTTTTAAGGTAGTATTTTATTTGTAGAAATTTTAATAAACATTGAAAAATGCTATTTGGTCTTTGACGAGTTCTTGTTCTTCAGAGGTCTGATGATAATGACAAAGTGACTAAATAAATTTAATTAAAAACAGTGTACTTAACTGTGACTTAGTCATTAAGGAAATTCTATTCCATTTTCAAGAAAATATAGGAAAAATATGAAAACCCAAACATTTACATTTAATTATCCTAAGTAATACTAGCAGTTAGTATGTATCTCCTTAAGAAGACTCTTCACTTTTTTTAGAACAGAGTTTTTTAAAAAGTTAGAACTTAAGAGTTTAACCTAAGAAAATCATGAAACACCACCTTTCATTTAAATATCAAAACAATTTTGATCATCTTATTTTATGACTATTTCTCTGTGTAGAATTAACATAATAGCAGTACTAAAGTCAACATATAACAATAAATCCTTTGCTGTCTTTTTTATTTTTATTAGGATTGCATTAAATTACTTCAGGGAGAGCTGGCATCTTTGTAACATCATTATAAGGTGAAGTGTTTCTATCCAAGAGGGGTTTTTATTTCATTCCCTCAAATCTTCATTTGCATTTTTCAGGAGAGTTTTGGAATTTTCTTTATATGGACCTTGTATATTTCTTAAGTTTATTCCTAAGTGTTTTATCTTTTCATCCTATCTTTAAACAGCTCATTTTGATCCCATGTGCCTCTCTACTGTTGATTCTTAAGTTTATGGGAAAAAATAAACAAAAATGGTCAGAAATACTATGAAAGAACAACAATGAATAGAGATGAACACAAATTGATATTTAGACGTATCAAATCTAAAAATGAAACAGTGTGGTACTAGAATGTGTATCATGAGATTGACAATGGAACAACAGTTAATACACAGACCCTAAACAATGAGAATATATCATATAATAAAGACAGCACCTCAAATCAGTGGTAAAAGATGGATTATTCTGTAAAAGATACATTTGGAAAAACTAAAGTTGGAATCATTTCCCACTATACATCAGGATAAATGCTAATTAGAAAAAATGTTAAAATGTTAAGATATTAAAGTCATTAAATTGTTAGAAGACAATGGGAGGACTTTTTTAACCTCAAATTATGGAGAAGATCTTTTCAACTACGCTTGAAAATCAAAAGCCAAAAGAAAAGATTGATAAATTTGTTATCTAAAAATAAAATTAAATTCTTCATAACATACAATACTATAAGCAAAGTCAAGAAACCAACAGTATAGTGACAAAAATTTGCAATGCCTAAAAAATGATAGGGTAATTTCCCTAGTACATAAAAAAGCTTCTAGAAATCAGTAAGAAAAAACAAATGATATAATAAAAAAAGTGTGCAAAGTCTATGGATTTACAATCTACAGAAAAAAAATATATAAATGGTCTTTATACAAATGAAAAGAAAGATGCTCAAGTTCAATCCTAATCAGAAAAATGCATATCAAAAATACCCTAGATGAAATTTTTTAATTAGCTGATGGGTATGAATTAAAAAAAACTTGATAAGAAACTCTGCTGGATAATGGAGAAATTTTACACTTTTTGACTGTTGAATCATGTGATTGTGTTGATTATTTATATTAATGTGTTACTCATGTAAAGTACCTATTCATAAGAATGTGTTACTTATTCAATAATTGATAAAAATACATATTGATATTGATATTTTAAAATGGAAATATTTTGCTTGACATCAGCAAAAATTAACTTTCATAAACATAAGTAAACTGAAACTATATGTGTGTGTGTATATGTATATATGTATATATAATATCTAGCTATACAGATATAGCTAGATATTGCTCCTCCCTAACTTCAAACTTGCTCTCTTTCATTAAAAACATCTAAATAAGACTTTCTCCTTGAGGTCATCATAAATAGCAAAAAAACAAATAAAAAATGGAATAACTTCCTCACTATTAAATTCAGCGTGTCATGACCAAGTTCCATCTGAAATAATCTGGCATACCCTCAGTAGGCTTTCTATGATTTCAGATGTGAGAATCACTGCAAAGGAGGAATGGAATGCAGGTAAGGAAGATTACAATTGAAGTTTTAAGCCTGGGTGTTTGAGGGAATAGTAGGAGCATTAATAGAAATTAGTAAATCAAAGAAAATACATTATATGCAGTAGGAGAGAATGATCAGTCTTTTCTGTTCCTAATTCTAATGTTATCTGTCCCATACCTACTGATCATTTCCACCTGGAAGACACAAAACAAGTAGTACATGAAAAACACACAAGTACATTAACTGATACCTACCAGCCATTTTTCATACTCATTAATAGCTTGTTTATCTTTATCTTTTTTCTCAGCTCTTTTCAGTTCTTCCTTTCTTTTCTCATTTATTCTCTCTTTTTCTTTTTGCTTGAAAAAAGCTTCCTTTTTTTCATTCCTATATAGAATGGTATAAAACACTGGAAAGTTAAAGGAGAATGTATAATAAAGATCCCTAATATATCTTTGACAATAATAAGATTATGATACATTAGTAAGCTTCAAGTAAATAAATTTTAGAAAAGCCTAAAGTGTTATTAAAATCAAAATATTTATTTTGGATTACCATTTTTCAACAGCAGTTAAATTATCTTTCTTTTTCTCAGCAACACTTTCCTCTTCTTTCTGTTTCTTTGCTCTTTCATATTCTTTCTCCTTTTTATTTTTCTCTTTAAGATATTCCATCTTTTTCTCTTTCCATTTTTCGAAAGCCTGAAAAAGTTCAGAATGATTTTATTACTGTGAATATTATAAAGTAAAAATATGGTTAACCATTAATTTGGATTTCAAATATTAATATTTAAAACTAATAAAGATATTGAAAGATCCTGAATACTTGTAGTGCTTCTCCTTTTCTCACAGCATTTTCCTCTTCTGTTTTCTTCTTATTTTTTTCCTCAAGCCTCTTTTTTGCAGCTATTTTCTTTGCTTCCTTTTCTTTCATAGCTTTCCAGGCCTCAAATGATGCTAATGCTTCTTCTTTCTTAGCAGCTCTTTTCTATAGTAGACAAAATAAGAGCAGATACATAGTTTGTATAAATAGATAGCTATAGCTGGATATATACAAATGCATTTATCTTTAATCCTCTGATATTTATCATATATAAAAATTAAGTTTCAAAGCAGACAATTTAGAATGGTTTAGATAAATTAATCTATAAAAATGTTCTCTGAATTATCCATTGATTTTAAAATATCCTTTTCTAAAAGTATTTATCAGATATTTACCTATTATTCATGAGAAGCCAATTATTATTTTCATAAGTATACTAAAACAAATAATATGAAAATAAACTATAATAGGCTAAGTGGTATGGTAAAATTTTTATAATAAAATATTTTGGTTAAAAAAATTCAGGAAAGTTAAGAGCTTATAAAGTAAGCTAGTATAAGGCCAATTGGCCAAGTCACAATGTGCAGATCTTTGGTTTGAACCCTAGTTTTGAATGGTACCCAAGCATAAAATTCTTACTATACAAACATAGTCCAAAGTTTGAAAATATATGTCAGGCTGAAAATTATGCATGAGACTGTATAGCAACTGTATATATTGTTATTTTACTTACTTCAATCTAATCCCATACTATTCTATGTTTGCTTTATGATATTGTTTATACTAAATGACATAAAACCTTACTATGGAGGTGAGATAATTTAGAAGTCAAAGTACTATGTACCTCATAGAGTTGTGAAAAAGCAAACAAGATTTATGATACTGACCACAGCAGAATAGTGCTACGAACGTGGTTAACAGGTATCAAAGCACACCTCCTGGAGGCCTGCTCCACTCAGTACCAGTTTATTATAGTGCAGTCCACTTGGGAAAATATTTTTTTTTTCTAAATCTACTTTAGTGTTGAGCAGCACAATGAAATGTTTTTTTCGAAAAAACATTTAAAAGGCTAAATGTTAAACATTTAATATTAAACATTAAAATATTTAAAACATAAAAACATTTTTGAAAAAACATTTTTATTTTGGAAGATAGGAAAGAACTGAGCATGTTGTAGGCTATCAGGTAAGAGTCAGAGGAAGAGACTGAAAGTACAGGACACTGGGACAGATGTCTAGTTCCAGTCAGTGGGAAAGGATGCAGGTCAACAGCACAGGTAGGGGTTGGTCTTGAACATGCATATAAAATTCAAGAAAGAAACAAAGAAAACTGAAGGCTAATTAATGTATAGTAACCCTTTATCTTCTTGGCTAAGTTCTAAATAAAGTTAACTTTTAAGAGTGAATTAGGTAGTCACAAACAATAATAAGTTCATAATCAGTAGTGACAAAGCTGTCCTACACATATGTAAAATAAAAATCTGTCTGTGTTTTTATGTAAAAGTTACATTTATATCCGTCTAAAAATGTTAAGTACAACAAAAATAAAACCAAAAATCAATTCTTCAGTATACAAGTTATTGTCCCATTTTAAAAAGCTGATTTAGGAAAGTTAAATATTGACATACACATCAAGAACATTTTCACTTCTGTATTTCAGAATACCTGTTCATTTTGGATCCTTAAGTTTTCACTTTCAATCCTTTTTATTCTGTGCAATTCATGTAAATATATATTTTTCTTTTCTAACCATTCCTATAAAAACAAGAAAAAGGCTATATGATATTCAAAATTTCTTAAATGAATTAGACCCCTTATTTCCAAAATATTTGATTTAAAACTTCAAAAAAGGAAAACACAAAATTTATAAATTCTATATAAGCTAGTGTTTTTATTTATCTGATAATATTCTAATATAAGTAAAGCTGATGACTAGTTTAAAAAATTATGTATGTTACCCTTAATATTAACAATAGATTTCAAATACTAAATATACTAACTATATATATTAATATTTCTCTCTGAAATTCACATGCACAATGTTCTAAAGCATACTATAATGTATAAAAAATAAGACAAAAAAGACCTTTTTTAGAATTGTGAAAAAATTAGTAAAATCTTTTTCTGTATAAGCCTAAAAAAATTCAGAATTCTTTTTAAAGAAAAACTTTAAAAACTCTTTTTGTTCATAATAATATAAACTACAAGGAAAAAAAGCATAAAAACATATATAGTCCTTACAACATTTGTCTTCTGCTGTATTTCTATAAACTGAAATAGCATATTCTTTAAAAATAACTCTGATCAGTTAAGTGTAGAAGCAAATAATTTAGTGAAATAGCTTTGTATTGCTCATGCATTGTAAAAGAAAATCTTTCCCCTTATAATAAATTTAAGTATTAAACCATCATTTCTGACAGTTTCATTTTATTCTTTGATAAACATGTAGCCTTATGAAAGTGATTAGTTTTTCTTCTTTTTTAAAAAAAATTTCCTTTTTTACCTGATAAACAGCTGCCCTTACATTATCTGCCTTGTCAGGCTCTATACTCTGTTTTTGTGAAGGCTTTTGGTCCAAGACTTTCAAAGTCCCTAAATAGTGAGAAGAGGTATTTGTCGTTGAAGTTCTCCTTTTAGAACTGTATTTCTTTAAAAACTCAGAGGTCATTAATCTGAAAAGATTCAAATAAATCAAGACAAAATATTACAAGTTGCATTTTGTAGAAGAGAAATCTATTAGAATATGCAACTATTATATTTGAAAACTATATTATAATTTAATAAATTATAGTAACTTTGAAAATGATGTAGATAACATGTATCATCTTTTCTTAGTACATGAAGAGTCCCATTCAACATAATTTAATTTTATACCTTAAATTATATAGGTTTCAAATGATTGTTCCATTTAGATATTTAAATTAGAAGCTTTTTAAGAAACATGGACTGTATCTCAAATTACATGGAAAAAATATTATTAAAGTAGATTTTAATCATTCTTTTAACATTTTCTTACATTATTTGGTTTTATGAACAATTCCAAATATAAAGCCAGAGAATAGTGCCCTCTTATTTCAGAGGTTGGTGAGAAAATATGCTCTGCCATCTGTTCTGATATATAAAGTTTATTGTACTACAGCTATACTCACTCATGTAAGTTTTGTCTATGGCTGCTTTCCTGCTGCAACAGCAGAATTGAATAGTTACAACAGAGAAATTGAAAGTATCTATTTTCAGCCACAAAGCTGTGAATTCTAATTGGCCCTGTTCTATTTGATTAATGGTAATTTTATTAATGATAATGTAAAAGATTCAGGTTTCCATTTGTACTTATGAGTTGGGTATTATCATTGGCATATATGAAGCTATATAGATTCTTATCATTTTAATACACTTAGTTCATAGAACCTGAAGCCTTTAAGTACAATTTTTCACATGTTAGATGAAGAAACTTAATAGATAAGTACAATGCTGGACTTCAGCTTTATTATCATTTTATATGTACTGTCGCAGAAAAAACAGGAGAAAGCTCCATCCGGGAGCAGTGTAGAGTGTGGAGAATCCCTAATCATTGACAATAGGGAAAGAAGAAAAGTCTCTCTCGAAACATCCCTAGAAGGAAGATCCTGGAGATCAAAGGTAATACATAAACATCCCACGCATTAAAACAACCAGTAATAAACAAACATTTTATTAATTCTTCTAATATAATCAACCAAGGGGTTTTATCATGAAGTAACTACTCCATTACTCATGAGATGGAAAGTAAGAGAAAATAAAGTAACACCAAATGAACTTTATTTTATGGAAGTTAAATTAAAACCAGCTTTGCTAGAATGCAAACCCATAAATGAGGGGGATATTGATAACTTGATTACCTGCCAGATGCACTGGATGCTCTATTATTTGTTGACTTGTTATTCTTCATATTTCTATCTTCAATTGTTTTCTATTAAACAGAAAATGCCATAGATGGTTCATTCACCATAATGATCGCTGTTAGATGTTAAAAGCCTAACTGCCAGGAAATTAGTATTTTTTTAAGCATCTACCCTGCGTCAAACACAGTAGGCATTGGGAACAAATTAGTGAATAAAATGTCCTGAAGGATATTAAACTTTAGAGGAAGATTGACTGACAATAAACACATAAACAAATGTGACTCAAGAAGGAGATAAAATAGCATACAGTGGCAGGGAGTGACTAGAAGGGGCTTGAATGAAGTTATCAGGGAAGGTTTCCCTGAGGGGTTGATGGCCCAGCCAAGAGAAGTAACGAGTGGGAAAGGACATGAAGGTCTATGGAAAGAAAGAAACAGCAATGCTAAAAGCCTGAGAAGGGATAGAACTTGATACTTTTGAAAAACAGAAAGAGGTCAATGGTGCTGAAGCACAGGGAATGGTGGGGAGAGTGGAGGACTGTGTGGTGGGAGAAGAGCCATGTGAGATTGTTAGGCGATGGGAAGGGGTTTGGGTCTTACTCTCCTAATGAGAAACCAACAAAGAGATGGTAATCGGGAATGATTAGATTTAGACCTAAGAAAGATCACTCAGTAGAGAGTAAGAATAGAGCCAAGAGTCCAGTCAAAACAAAGATGTTATCATCTTACTTTCTAATTCTAAATTAGAGTTGCCTGTTCTAATCTAGAATTACCTCTATTTGACATTTCCAAGATCCTGTCTATAAACTCCAGAATATCCATTTTTCTGTTGAGTAGTAACTTTTCTACTTTACCCAGATAGATGGATGCTAGCAGTAGGGTGACAGCACAGATGTAAATACAACCCTAACCTGGCAGTAGTATTTTCTCCCAGGAAAAGTAGCTAAGGATGATATACCTGGAACATGGTTTAATTAACCTTCTCCTTAAACTTTAATAAAAGCTAATATTTTATATTATAAAAGTCCTGCTAAACAAAGTTTGCAACTAGGACTGTTTTCTTCCCCTAATAATGAATATACACACATAGCTGCTAGCTAACTGCTGCTATAAGAGATAAAGACGAAATTCAGGAGAAACAAAAACTAAAAACGGTATACCGTAAATTTTAAAAATATGGTACGCAGGCACAATTTAGTGTAGGGACAAGTAATCTACACACCAAAAATTTGTTTCTTAAGATTATAATAATAACACTCTTGATGACACTGTCCATCTCTTTAAAAAAGCATGGATGTTGATCAATATTTAAAGATTTTCATTAAAATTGTTAAAATGCTTTGAAATGATATCCAAAAAAACCCCTTTAATTCAAAACCTTAGAAATTGTTTCAGATAGCTGCATTTTTAAAATAGGAAGACCTATGGGTATTTATGAGATATTTCAAAGTACATTATGATCATATATTTCTGATAATTTTTAATGAAATATTATGTTTCATTATCTTCACTGCAAACTTTCCTTGTAGTTAAATTCTATTGAATTGGCCGGGCGCGGTGGCTCACACCTGGAATCCTAGCACTCTGGGAGGCTGAGGCGGGCGGATTGCTCGAGGTCAGGAGTTCAAAACCAGCCTGAGCAAGAGCCAGATCCTGTCTCTACTATAAATAGAAAGAAATTAATTGGCCAACTAATATGTATAGAGAAAAAATTAGCCAGGCATGGTGGCGCATGCCTGTATCTGTAGTCCCAGCTACTTGGGAGGCTGAGGCAGTAGGATTGCTTGAGCCCAGGAGTCTGAGGTTGCTGTGAGCTAGGCTGACGCCACGGCACTCACCCTAACCTGGGCAACAAAGTGAGACTCTGTCTCAAAAAAAAAAAATTCTACTGAATTAAGAACCACTTAACATAATACCAGTATCAAAAGATGAGTTTTCCACAGAAGATAAAATATTTTAAAGTTCTATTTCAAGTTTTAAGTTGTAGTATAAAAGGTGTAAATGTACATATATACCTTTGCGGATTCTGTTGCATTGGTGGATATTAACATACTCTGAGATTTAGATAATAGTGGATCAACTGTTAAGTCATCATTCATACTCAGTTCAGCTTTCTTCTTTTCTTCTTCAAGGTCATTATCAACCACTTGACTTTCCTTAGATTTCTCAAGTGCAGTAGTAACCAAGTCTATCGAAGATGAATTATCTTCTTTTTCATCTGATTTCAGGGAGTCTTCATGGTTTTCAGTGAATTCTTCATTCTGATCTATTTTGAGATAGACTAATAGTATTAAAACCCCCTTCTGAATTAATCAGATAGATAAAAGATTCATTTGTTTTCCTTTAAATGAGGACTATGTTTTTTCTCACAAAAAAAATATGAAGAAAACTGTCATACTGAATTTGAATATACCTTTTTTCAAAAGTGATCTACAAAAGAGAAAATAATCTAATGAAGCACTTACAAAACTAATACTTAGAAAGGTAGCATGTTAGTAAATATGATGGAATAACTACCCCAAAACAAAGACACACAAAAAGCTTTTGTTGATGTATAAACCAAGTGAGATGGCAATATCTGTTCAATTCTAAAACCTGTGTTTCTTAGCTGGAACAACAGGCTGTGTAATTGCGAGGCACACATCTCTAGGCTACTACAATTACTGGAAGTACAACTGTTGAATTGTACATATGCAGAGAGAACCAAAAATTAACGCAATTTTATGCAGCGAAGAAAGCCAGTGTCTAGTTAGTTTCATGCCCACCACGATGCAGTGCTGCCTCTCCTACCAAAATGAGCACCAAGACAGGCCTGTTACTTATTCTCTCAGTGCTCCAAGGAACAGGCTCAAGCTCTGGCATAAAAGGATTCAGTTTTGCTTTTAGAAGCTGCTTCTAGTATTCTGATTCTACCATACTTTGCAATGCTCAGCAGAAAGAAATCAGTGCTTTCTGTGGGGATCAACAACTTTCACTTCTACCAGGCTCCTTCCTCCTGGCTAAACCTGTTTCTTCACTGTCAAAAGTCTTAATTCTGCTGGTTTCATTACAGTCATTTTTTTTTGTAATTTGTTTTTAGGTAAGGTAAACTAGGGTTTTTATTTTTTTTGGCCACTTTTTTATGTTTTTTGGGGGTTTTTTTAGGTTTAAAATCACTTTATTATTACAGTAATACATTCATATTTGGAGAGTACTTATGACTCAATTCATGATTGAATTCTTTGAAGCTGTTAATCAATCTTTGCAGCAAAAAGAACAATAACTTCGGAGCCCAACATTTAAACTATGGCTCCATCACTGACCTTGGGTATGTTTTCCCAAATCTCTGTACTTCAGTTTTTCTCATCTGTAAAATGACAAAAATTATACTACATAGTAAGCACTTAATAAATGTTAGTTACACATTCCAGTCCTAGAAACAGCCATGCCTCTTAGCTCTCATTAAATTACAAATCATAGCACTAAGAAAGAATGTTAACAACTTATACATCACACTTACTACATGCTTACTATGGTATTATTGTAAATGCTTTACATGTTTTATTAATTAGTTTAATTCTTACCACCTTATGAAATAGATTATTTTTATTTTCCCCATTTTAAAGACCAATATACAGGGCTGGAGAGGTTACTTTGCCTAGTAGTTGTGCCTGGATTCAAACCTAGCTTAGCCTCATTCTAAAATTCCTCCTAGTAATTACATACTTTAGAATATTGCAGCAACACTTACATTATAATAGTTTACCTTAAGAGCTCACTCCACTTGTGCTAGGAACTAGGTTAGTGGCTAAAATGCACTATATCATTTGATTTTCACAGCACCCTTATGAGATAGGTAATATTATAACTTAGGGAAATTGAGTCACTGAGAGATTAAGTTCTGCATCTAAAATTATAGAGTTAGGCTGGGCATGGTGGCTCATACCTATAATCCTAGCACTTTGGGAGACAGAGGTGGGAGGACTGCTTGAGGCCAGGAGTTCAAGACCAACGTGGGCAACATAGTGAGACTTCATCTCTACAAAAAAAATTTTTTTTAAATTAGCTGGGCATGGTGGCACGTGTCTGTACTCCCAGTTACTTGGGAGACTAAGGCAGGAGGCTTGCTCGAGCCTAGGAGTTTGATGTTCCAGTGACCTATGATGATGCCACTGAACCCTAGCCTGGGTGACAGAATGATACCCTGTCTCAAAAAAAATAAATAAATAAAAAATAAAACCACACAGTTAACTGCATAGCTGGGATTAAAAGTCAGGCAAACACAAACATATATTTTCCTGTTACTATTCAAAGTATTAGCTTTCTCTTAAAACAGGATTCTAAGTAATACAGAGTTCACAAATAAAATAAGATACAATACTTAGATATAACCACCTTTTATGGATGCTTTTCCCTCAGATCCTGGTGAAAAGGAATCTTCAAGGCTTTCTTTAAGTGATGATGATAGACTTGTTAAGCATGGATCCTGTTTTTTTGGAAAAAGAAATGCATTTACCATTTAAGTTTAGTTCTTAAAATTTGTGGGGACAATAGTATTAAAATTATCTCATAATCCTTAAATCTACATTTTTAGGAGTTTGCTATTGAAACACCAAAAGCCAATGGAAGCTAATATGCTTTGCTTTCAAGCCTTGATGTCTTGGTCATTAAAGGTGTCACTAAAAGAGTTATTCTAGTTCTTTATCTAATTGCCACCTCTCTGTTTTTAGCAATTTTCAAAACTCCTGCTATTCCAAAATCAAATCTCTTATAAGTACTTAAGGCAAAGATTTGATTTTAATAGCTTTTTCTACAATTTTCCTTTGAAGGAAAGTATAAAGAAGACAGTGGGTAAAAACCTTTACTTTTAAACAAATATTACTAGTTGTCCTAATGAAAGCATTTATAAAATCAAGTAGTTACTTTCAATTATTTTAGACAAAGTACACAGATTTCATGGACTTTGGTTTTCTTCAAAATTCTGAAGGTTATATCTGAAATGAAAAAAAATGTATTTGTATGTCTAAAGTAAACAACTCTTTATAGACTAGCCTAAAGGTGATTTTATAATGTAGTTTAATTTTGTTGAATAGATAATATACTTTAATTTTCTTTCCTACAATATTTTATGGGTACAAAGAAAATTGTATATCAAAAGCAATGGAAACAATTTGAGAAGACGGCAGAAGGATTAAGACACTAGAGTCTACCTTGAAAAACAAAGTTTCATCTAAGAAAATCTGCAAATGAGCAAATTTGTTAGCTTTTTGTTTGAAGGCATTCCCCAACCTCTGTAGCTCAAGGGATAGAAGGCCACAGCCTCAATGGACTGGCTTGAGGGGATAGAGTATAGGACTAGATCAGCCAATAAATTTGGGAAGAAGTAGCAGAGGGCAGTGGCCACAAAATCTGCACCTGAAATTTACCAACCCTGGCTTCATTTATACATAGCATAGGGAGACCCCCAGAGGATTCTGTAATATCATAGAAGTATAAACTAAAAGGATTAAGCAGAGATTTCCACTGATACCCACTGCAGGGGAGACAGAGTTGGAAATTTGAGTCCAGCCATGATAACTGCTTGCTAGAAAACATGTTTGGAGAGATATAGTAGAATTCAGAATCTCTACAATGTATCATTTATAATATCCGGCATTCAATCAAAGTCACTAGGTGAAGAAACAGAAAATGGTGACACATACTCATAAAAAAAAAATTAAAATTAAAAACAAAAAAAGAACCATCAATAGGAACCAACTCATAGATAGCCCAGATTTTGCAGTTAGCAGATAAGACATTAAACTATTATAAATATGTTCTAGCACTTTGAGGGAAATATTAATATTTGCATGATAGCTGAACAGATGGGGATCTTATCAGCAATACAGAAAATATAAAAAATGCCAATGGAAATTCTAGACTTGAACACTACAATAACTGAAATAAAAAATTCATTGAATGGACTTAATAGTAGACCAGAGATGGCAGAAAAAGTCAATGAACTAGAAGACAGTTCAAATTATTCAACCTGAAAAACAAAGGGAAAAACAGATTGAGGAAACATAAATAGAACCTCAGGGGTTCATGGGAATCACAAATTTTTGAAATCAAATTTTTAAAATAAAAAATTTCAAAGCATGTGTAACTGGAATACCAAAATGACAGGAAAGAAAAACCAGGTAGGAAAAAAACCCATAAAACTTCTCATTTTCATAGACGATATCAGCTTACAGATCCTGAAAGCTCAACAGACCTCAAACAGAATAAATACAAAGAAAACTAGACCTAGGCACCCTGTAGTAAAATTGCTGTAATTCAGAGATAAAAATAAAAATTTTCAAAAAATTCCTGAAAGCCAGAAGAAGAAAACCAACACATTAAATATAGAGGACAATAAAATAAATGATTGATTTCTCAACAGAAACAAAAGATGCCAGTAACAACAGAAATCTATAAAGAGCTGGGAGTAGAAAAAGGAAACGGTCAGCCAAGAAGTACATATTCAGATGAATAACCCTTCAAAAACAAAGATGAAATAAACACTTTTTAGGTAAGTATGGACAGAAAATCTATCACTAATAAACCTCTATTACAAGAAATGCAAAACTAAGTTTGCAAAACTAAAGGGAAACGACACAAATTGGTAATCTGGATCTACAGGAAGGAATGAAGATCCCCAGAAATTATATATATGTATATATGTGTATATATATATATATCTATATTTGAGAAATCTATAAATATTTATTCTTATTGTAATTCTTTAAAAAAGTCTAATACAAAACATTTAAGACTCTTTAAAGAAAAGTTATAACTGGATTATGGAGATTACATCTGTAGATGTAATGTATATGACAACAATAGCACAATGGATGAGGGAGTATATGGAACTATATTGTTGCAAGGTTTCTATATTTAACACAAAATAATACAATATCAATTCTAAATAGATTGTAATAATTTTCAGATGTTTTGTGTGACTAAAAATAAAACACAACTACTAGTAGTACACAAAGTAATGCTACATTTTACAACTGATGAGTATTAGACTCAGTGGAATACAGTATACTAAACAAAACTTAAAATTATTTCCTTATTAATTGCAGAAGAAAACATGTGAAACACATACACATGCACGTAAATTCACTCTCTCTCTCTCATAATCAGAGCAAAGGCCTAAATTCAAGATTACAATTCAATAGTTCAGCAGTAATACTTACTTCAGGAGCAAAGTTTTCAGAGAATGCTTTTTTCTCAGCTTCTAATTGTCTGCCATTCAGCCTTGGAAGGGGAGAAGGTGTAGAATGTAATTCTAATTCTTCACTGAGGGTAGTTTCCTTATCTTCTTCTAGTCTATCTTTCTCTTCCACATGGCTATTCTTTTTTAACATCCTTCTGGGACGAGGTGAAGGTTTAAAGTGGTCATCTGTTTCAAAGCTGCTGCTGTTTTCTGCTGAAAAATGAAATGCTTTAAAATGTGTGTGTAAAAAACCCAAAAAAACCCCAAACAAAACAAAACATGGCTTTAATTATCCCTCAGGGTGCCAACATACTTCCCTCCTGTGCCCAGGCCCCTTGGCTCTTTCTCCCACCAAGTTCAGATGAAGCCCACAACTGCTCTCTATACAGAGCTCCAATAAGGCACAAATAAATAATCGTTAACAATTTTCAATTTTTTGAAAAAAAACTCAAAGTAAAAAAAAAAAAGTTGCCATCCTGAAAGTAACTAGTATACTTTAATTTTGTGAGAAGTTAACTCTTCAACTTTATAAACTCGTAACAGTATTCAAAAAAAATTTAAACAAAAAACAAAACAAAACCTTGCCCCAGTTTCTACCTCTATAAAACAAAGAGGTTCCTCCATCAAACTTTTACTGAGTACCTGATACCAACCTTGTACACATTACTGAACCTCATAATCAAAACAGTAATAATGGAACTGTCCAAGAACTCTCCCGGTTGATTTTTTCTAAACAAAATTACAAGATGAAGATAAGTGCTGTTACAAGTACGAAGATGACACTGGCACTCAGAGGACAGAAGTGCTAATTCTCACTGGAGGAAGAAATATTGAACGAGATGATTCTGTGAGTTATCGTTCTTTGAGTCTATAAAACTTCTTTAGCAGTTACTAAAGTTTCAGTTAATACTTCCATTGCTCCAAAGTTAATACTAGAATCTAATACTGGTATGCATCCAGCACTCCAAACATTGATGGGAAGGTTTTCCACTTCCATCTTTATTGTCTAAATTTTACCCATTCTACATATTTATTTTTCTATTGTTCTACAAATGCATCTTCTAAAACTTCAAAACTGGTCTAATTAACACCTTTTCCCCCTTTACCTATAGATGGGCTTATGAATGCTGCTAGAAGATCCCACAAGCATACCAAATTCATACCACTATGAATGTTTCCTTAAAAATTTTAGCTATGTCCTCAACTATGACCAAATATCTCACATTAAAAATACTGAGTTCAAACATTATATCAAAAAGAGTCAAAGAAAAAGACACCTGCACTCAAATGTTTATAGCAGCACAATTCATAATTACAAGGCTGTGGAAACAGCCCAAGTGCCCATCAATCCAAGAATGGATTAATAAAATGTGGTATATGTATACCATGGAGTACTATTCAGCTCTAAGAAACAACGGTGATATAGCACATCTTATATTTTCCTGGTTAGAGCTGGAACCCATACTACTAAGTAAAGTTTCCCAAGAATGGAAAAACAAGCACTACATATACTCACCAGCAAACTGGTATGAACTGAGCAGCACCTAAGTGGACACATAGGTACTACAGTAATAGGGTATTGGGCATGTGGGAGGGGGTAGGGGGCAGGTATATACATACATAATGAGTGAGATGTGCACTATCTGGGGGATGGTCATGCTGGAGACTCAGACTTGTGGAGGGAGGGGAGGAATGGGCATTTATTGAAACCTTAAAATCTGTATCCCCAAAATATGCCGAAATAATAAATAAATAAAAAAAGTCAAAGAATTTAGATAAAGCAAAACTCATGAACCACATTCCAGTTACCACAAATAAACCATTCATATATTCATTTATTCATATAAATACTTAATGAACTTCATATGCCAGGCATTGTCATGGTACCACTAGCCTCAATTTTTATTCTTCAACCTGAAGAACTGGCGAATAATGTCTTTAATATAATTTATTCCAAAATTCCACTTCCAGAATTGTCAAGGTATCCAAAAGGAAATAAAAGCCTATACTTTTTAAAAATGCTTTGTTTTATAATCAAATGTGTAATATTTACTATTTAGGCAATTATTTTTATGTTACACATACTGAATGTAATATTGCATATATAACTAAGTAGAGCCCTTATATTTTTAGTGCCACCTAGTGGTTAAAATATAGTATTTTAGTCATTTTAATTCACACAGGTTTTTTTTATAGATGTGAAATAGGTAGAGTATTACTACTTTACTGATTATCCACCATAAATTTCTAACTCTATACATCCATCTGTTTTAGATCCATTTTTAGCTGCTATATGCTCACATTTTCTTAATAACCAAGTTCAATTACGTTCCCCTTCTTTCCATCTTTGGTTTCACTCACTACACTGGGAAGGGACATTTTAGGAAACTAATTCTGTTTTATTATGCCTCATATTTGCACTTTTGTAGCATTTTATGGCTAATGAGATATAAATCAATAAATATTTATCCTACTCATGACAAGAGTGAGGCCTAACCTATTTGCTGAAGTCATACATAACTAATATACAGTGGCTTCTAGTGTCTTTGCTTATAGAGTCTCCTCAACTCAAAGTTAATGGGATTGTGGGGGAGGTGGGGAGAAGCAGTTCCCTAATACATGCCTGAAATAAAGTTTTGTCTGATGTTACCGGTGATATCTAATATATACAATATGAAACATTTACCAGCACTATATTTACTGATAATGTAACTTAAGGAAATTTTTAAGAAAGTTAACATCAACTAATATTTCCTTTATACAACAGAAAGAAAGAGCACTGACAGACACCAAATGTTTAACCTCCCATGCACAAGTTCCTGTGTGGTGGCCCAGAACACTTCAGAAGAGTCGGTCCCTGCTTCTTTCTACCTTTGCTGCTCTGTGCTTAAAGCTCAGTAGAATTGTGGGGATAATCCCACATCACACTAGAACCTCCCCTTGGAAAACTGAACCTTATTGAATTTTGGTAGATGACAGAGATGAAATGGTCTTCTCTTTTCTCAAGGAGTGCCTAGAGACTGCAATAAACCACCACAACAACAATACTCCCCCTTCAAACATACAAATGCCAAAAAAATGTTCTGGCAAAATGTTGGTATGGAATTGAATGTTTTAAGGATTAGTCCCAATGCTGCTACAACCAATCTCTGGAGTGTGAGGGCGAATTAGAGAGGATTCCATCCCGATTCCACACCCAAAAATAAAATTGAAGCTCGCAGACCTAGGTGTTTTGGGATTGGCATCTATGGATGACTGAATATACAACTGGACATCAGAATTATGGGTTTTCTCTATAGTTCTATTATTTTGATTTATGTCTGTAAAATTGAAAAGTCAAATTTTTTCTTAGATATATACTAGCTACTATATTAAAGGTATTGTGACTGATTATTGGAAAACAAATTTTTAAGAAATGCAATTACAATAATCTAACAAATTACCTGAAGATGAGATTTTGATTGGAAAAGTTCTGGGTTTAGGTTTCACTTTAATTTTCTCTTTTTCAATTTCCTGGTCTTTATTTTGAGATTCAGATAAGGAATTTACAACTACGTCTTCACAACCATCAGGTGACATTTCCTCATCGTTTTTGATAGTGCAAACTGGCTCATCTTTGGTTATATCGATGTTTGATTTCTTGGTTTTCAAAAAAGACAGTCTTGGAGAATTATTTTCTTCATCATCTGATATGTGAAAATCATTCACTTTTTTCTTGAATGAATTTTCATCTACTGAGGTATCAGAAAAATCACCTAAGGAAACTGAAAAATGAAAAAGAAAAAATGTTTTCAATAGTATTTTTAAAAATTGTCAGGGTTACATTAACCAAAAAAGTAACATTATCTTAAGGACTAGAAATTAAATTATTCATACTAAAATGAGTAGATGCAAATCTACTTTACAAAGAGATTTGCAGATGTAAAAAACAGCTAATTCAGGCAGTTTTCATCAGCATTTATGAAATATTTCAATTTCATTAACTTATTCAAATCATTTATTGAGTATAGGATACCAAATTAAATCTTAATGGTACTAATACATGAAACATGAAGTATCTGCTTTTTAAACTGACCCCTTATTATAGCCAAAACGTATCTGTTTTATAACAAACTTCACAGAAGTACTTCTGATGTGCAACAAAGTTTAGTTCTGTGGGGCTCTAGTGATTAACTAGTTTAGGGCCTCCTAGGGTTGACTTTAAAAATGAACCTGTCTTCTCCAATGTGGTTTTCCACTGACAGCCATCTTTTTACTGTAACTCTGCATCAATTTCTATTTTCATATACACATTCAGAAATAACCAAGGACAATCATTCAACATCTTGAAACTTAAGAGTGGTGTTCTGCTCAAAAGTTTGAAATCTAATAATAGTGAATTCACAGGTATTATTTTAACATAAGTGATTACAGGGTGCGGGTTGGGGGTGTGTGGGGGGGAGTGGCCTAAACATAAAACTAAGGAAGCAAAAAGAAGAAATGCAGTTTACTTTTCTATACCGTCACATACCAATATCATCACTGTCAAAGTCATCTGAGTATTCAGAACTCCTTTGTCTGGCTGATCGAGCTGTAATTGCTCTTATTAGCTCATCCTGAAATGAGATAATTGAAATCAATTCCCATCCAAATGTGGAAGTATCACACTTAGAATTAATTCTTTAAACAAACAATGCTTCATTAATAACTGCTTTCAAACTTACGTTTCTCAGATATCTAACATTCACTGCAAGCCTACTTTATGCCATGCACCCGGGCCCTCAGACTCAAAGCAGAGCATTGCAGAAAACAGCCCTCCCTCATGGAGCTCACAGTGAAACTGGAGGAGATGGACAATATCAAATAAATCAATTGCAGGTTATAAGTAGAGCTGGAGAGTAATAAGCAAGGAGGGACTCAAGCTGGATAAGATTTATTAGAAACTAGCATATTGAAAGAAACTGGTACTTTTTAAGAGCTTTTATTTCAGTATACTTCAGGAATGGATATAATCCATGCTGCAAATTTAGAGGCTGAGGTCAAAATTATAGTTGCCCAAAGAGAAAACTTAATTATTATGTTACAACATAAAAGTAGTTTTGATATAAAAATAGCAATTTAAAGTTGCTACTTAACTTTTAACTTAGTAAGAGCCTAGTATTGAAGCTATTTTGGCAGTCTCAAACCATACAGAGGGCTTGTGATACTGGAGCCCAAACATGATCATCTACAAAACCTCAAAAAGAAATGTAAGATTTACTCCTGCTTTATATAGTACTGTTCCTAGAATCACCAGGTCCAACATTCCTAACATAGTGTTTACATTGTAAAATTCTTCAAAATAAAAATGCTTTGAAATACTTTACCTGGAAAGTAGTTCTTTTGGTAACTCGTGGACTCTTTGTATATGCCAAGGTTGTGCTAAAAACTTCATCAGACATCATGTATTTTTTTTTCTCTTTGCCTTTATAAAAATAGCTAATAAATGACTGGAATAATTCAACCTTTGCTGGTGGCTGAAATATAGAAAAAAACAAATCAGACTTCTTTGCATGCTCAAGAATTTCTATCATCCACTTGGTGCCCCCACAAAAAAGCCAAACCAAATAAGAAAAGCATCCCATATGAACACTGAGCTACATCTTCACTTAACAAGGTAAAGAAGCCAGGTGCAGTGGCTCACGCTTGTAATCCTAGCACTCTGGGAGGCCGAGGCAGGAGGATCCCTTGAGTTCAGGAGTTGGAGACCAGCCAGGGCAATAGAGAGAGACCATATTATCTTCAAATAATTAAAAACTTGTCATGGTGGCATGCACCTGTAGTCCCAGCTACTTGGGAGGGTGAGGGATGAGGACTGCTTGAATGCAGGAGTTTGAGCTTGCTGTGACTAGCTTGGGCAACAGAGTGAGAATGTCTAAAAAAAAAAAAATGTAAAGACTTCTTGGCTGGGCCTGGTGGCTCACACCTGTAATCCTAGCACTCTGGGAGGCCGAGGTGAGAGGATCGTTTTGAGCTCAGGAGTTTGAGAACAGCCTGAGCAAGAGCGAAACCCTGTCTCTACCAAAAAAAAAAAGAAAAAAAAGAAAAAATTATCTGGACAACTAAAAATATATAGAGAAAATTAGCCAGGTGTGGTGGCACATGCCTGTAGTCCCAGCTACTCAGGAGGCTGAGGTAGAAGGATTGCTTGAGCCCAGGAGTTCGACGTTGCTGTGAGGTAGGCTGACATCATGGCACTAGCTAGCCTGGGCAACAGAGTGAGACTCTGCCTCAAAAAAAAAAAAAAAGTTCTTATAAGGAAATATCAAATTCTCACAAGCTTGTTTTCATAAAAGGAAAATTCAAATGGAAGTTATCCTAAAATAACTGTGCAACTATTTTAAAAATCAGCACATAAATGATTGAAACAAGTTAATACAAAATGTTCCAATTAAAACAGAACACCTTATTTGTCACCTCTCTTCTATTCAAAAAGTATAATATTGCCTACAAAACAATCATGCCTTATTTAAAAGGCTCCCAAGAGGACTGTCGGCATAAAAATCATGAACACCAATACCACACACACACACACACTGAAAACAAAAAAAAGTCTGCATACCGCGTTACTCAAAGAAAAAGATGATAATGCTAAACAAATAAGCAATATTATTTTACAAGCCGTGTTGCCCTCTCACAAAAGTGTTAACAGGGCTGTGTAAAACAAAACGACTCAGTTTTCGCGATAAGCTGCATTAAAATCGCCGTTTCTCCTGCTCAGAGCCAGGAGGCCTGGGCCGCGGCCGCAGGGCCACCCGCAGCAGCGCGCGGGGACCATTCCCGGCCCGGCCCGGCCAGGTGGCGTCCCCGCCGGCTCCTCACCGCGCCGCCGGCGAAGCGCGCGCCAGGCCCGTGCACACCCCGCCGCGGCCTCCGTCCCGGCTTCTCCGTCCCTCCGTCCGGCTGTCGGTACCCACCCTCGCCACTCCTGCGGCAGGCTCCCGCGACCCCGAGCACCCGCGGGCCAAAGCCTCTCGCCAGGGCCTGGGCCTGGCAGCGCTGGAACACCCGGCACGGGCCGAGCAAGGGGCGGGGCTAATATAGAGCTGGGATGCGGTTGCTAGGAAACCGCGTCTCCGGAAGGAAGTGACTTCATCACCGCCGGGTATCTCGGGTACCCAACACTGCCCTTCGGTCCAGAGCGTCACTGGGCGCCCACCGAGAGGAAGGAAATGACATCACCCTCCCTGGGTCTGGGAAGAGGGGTGCACTGTGTATGTGACAACATGTGAACATTATCATATCATAAAATAGCAATGCACCACCACATTGCCACGAGCGGTCAGGACTTCTTGCCTCTGTATTTTAGGCATCACCAATCTGGCTGGGGAAAATGCAAAAAGAGATGCACATTCAAGCCATTCCACAGAGAGATCTAATTCGTTTCCTTAACGGATTGTAGGTGACCAGGAAGCCCACTTCAATGAAACGTTCTGCCTAACAGAAAGAATGCAAGAGAGTTAAGTGCACGGTTGGATTTTTTTTCTTTACAGAAAAGAAAAACGATCCGAAGAGAATGAGGGTGTTTCATTTTTGGCCGCCTGTGTGTTTCTGCTGTTGCCTAGGAGACAGGCAGGACCCGCCCAGCTCCCACCCATTGCGCCTTGCCCTCGCCCGGGAGAGTACAGGTCTTTTTCTGCAGTTGTTGCCTGAGTTTCCAAAGCGCATTCCTCGATTTACAACAATTAGGACATGGAAGTCTGTGAATCGAAGTAGAGTGTCAGTTGATAGGACACCACAGCACGGTAATGACGTTTGCAGACCCCGGAATCAGACTGCACGTTTGAATCCCTACACACGTGGATGTCAAGTTAAGGTCTTTATGCCTCAATGTCTTATTAAAGAAGGAGGTAATACTATAATAATAGTCACCTGAAGCTTGCTGCGAGATTGAATAAAATAATACAGGTGGAAGACTTAGAAGAGTGCCTGGAAGTACATTCAGTCAATATTAGATTTGCTCTTTATCCAGCTAAGCCACAAAGGGCTTGGGGAAAAGTCAGCTCTTGTCAGTGCAACTGAAAGCCCATTTCACGTGTTGCTGTATTGTAAAGTTTCCCTCTTTGTATACTTAGTGGATAATCTGCTTAAAATCAAACCAGTCAACAAAATGATCTAACAGGCTGGAGGACCAGGTGCTGCTAATGTAAGACAAATCAACATCATTAATTAGCATAGATAATCCTTAAATAAACAAAACCCCAAAACACTTAGTCTTTAAAATAAGATGGATTTTGAATATTTTTTATATACAAAAAAAGCTTAATCTTAATTGAATGATCTGAATGAATTCACTGACTAGTAATTAAACTTGTACCTGGCATTTTTTCCATATCCCTAAAAATTTATTAATATTTCACTTATTCAATTATGTATAAACAAAGCACATTGAGATATAGATTTAATAAATCAGTGTATTAAAAAAACTAAATGTGGATAATGAGAAATATAATTTAGTTTTAAAAAGCTTTTAAAATATTTTCAATGTATCTTTTTAAAAATGTTCAGTATATATTGTTCAACTTGTTTAAAAAACTCAGCTTGATCAACATTTGCTAAACATTTTTGAATGAATCTCTTCTGCCTAAGAGAAAGATTTTCCATTCTCACCAGGTACTGTTAATTTTTATGATCTGTATAAGTTATTAATCAACAATGATGATTCCAAGGTAGTACCTATGCCCACAGTGAGAGGACAGCTTCTATGTTTTCCTTATATGTGAAATACTAATTTGCTCATGTTGAATTATTTATATTCATGCAAAAATATCTGCTCTGTTAATTTTTTTCTTAATCATTTGGCTAATATTTACATTTAGGTATGATTAAAGGAAATAAAATTCACAAAAATATTAATTAAAAGAGCCCTTAAGAAGAGATTTTGTCTTTTTTACAGAACATACTAGATTTTGATTTTCAACTTAACTAATAGAGAATAGTAATTAAAATATGATGCCAAGTTATGCCTTAGAAAGTTACAGTAAACAAAGATAGTTAACCTAACTGGTTAATTTCTCCACAAGACCCAAAGCACAATGTCTTTCCACTATTCTCTTAAGACACAGAATCTTATATGGTATGTTAACATCTTCAGACAGCCTTGATATATGTTAATAGTAACATTATACTATATCTGAATTGATATTTTATCTAATGCATAGTTGGCAATAAATATATAATTTTTTTAATGAATGAACTCATGAATAATAAATACATACTATTTTAAACTGAAAAACAATATTTGAAACATTCCAAAAGTAGCCCACAGATATTTTAAAAAATTAAAGCACTACAACACAAAATTTCAGTAGCTCATGTAACATTTTCTCTATTTTATTTTTCTTTTTCAGAAGAATGGCGCCTAGCGACATTCTTTGAATTTAATACCCTTTTCAATTCTGAGTTTTGCCTTCACCCACTCATTCATTCATTCAGTATACTCATGTGAATAACATTTCTGGGTCAGATTTTGAGAGTCCAAAGGTAGATCAGACTAAAGTTTCTGGTAGGGCTCTTATAGATTAGAGATGGCTGGAAGGCTGGATATACACATAATGATAACACATTTTGAAAATTATCTCTTAGAAGAATGTAGGGAGAAGCTCTCAAGAGAGAAAGAAGAATTCTTTCTGGTGGTGTTAGAAAGTTTTCACAGAGAAAGTGAGTTTGAGCTGATTAAGGAGCTTAGGAGATAAGGAAGGCTCAAAGTACATTTGAAGCAATAGAAATCAGCTGAGTATGGAGCCTAATCCATAGTGGTTATACGTGGTTGAGTGTTGGTGCCTTTTTAAGCTCGAGAGAGCTGATGGTAGTGTTCAGAGTGCGCTGCTTATTGGGCAAGGGGGAGAGTGAGAAGACCCATTTCCTGATCAAAAACATGAAAAATAATAGACACATTTTTAAAATATCGCAAATAATATGATTGAAGATTTATCTAAAGGAGTGTGTCCTAGGGGAAGGAAAAGAGGAAGGAGGAACAACAGGATGCTGGGCTGGGACTCCTGAGTTGGAGGTGCGGTGATATATGGAAGTGGTTGTCAGGCTGAGATTATAAGGGGAGGGAGCACAGAAGGGAGCAGAGGCTGGGACCCTGGGAGACACTGACTGGGATGTGGCCAGAGGTCTTACTTAGCACAGGAAGGCAAGCAACCGCCAGAAAAATAGGAGGAGAACCAAAAGGGAGAATGGTTCACAAATAAGGGAGTGGCCAATGCTGCCTATTAGTCAAATAGCTAGAGAAGCAAACTACAATTGTCCCTAGGAGGTCACTGGGCTCTGTAGCTCACCCAAGATAAGAGCAGTTTGTGTAGAGGGGTCAGAGGGAGGTATGCTGGAGCTCACACCTGCTCAGGAAAGTCCCTTGTGCACATCCAGTCCCAACTCTGCATTTGTTGACATCAAGTTGATAGCTTTAAATCGGCAATGGTGGAATTATTTGAAATGGACAAATGCTACAATACTACAAATCAGGACATTCCTCCTTTCCTCCCCATCCACTGAGAGTTAAACATTTACCAGCACTCAGCTGGGTGAGAAGGAAGGTGAAGCATGATTACATTTTTTACAAGTGAATGGGAGATAAGGAAATGGGGCAGAGTGAGATTATGTCTTTCCAGAAGTCAGTGGTGAGGGGAAAGAGCTGGGTACAATATTAATAACATCTTAAGACACAGGTAGGTTTGAAAGAATATTATTTTCACCTGGAAGTGTCCTAGACAAGACTGATTATATAGCCTTCATACTGTTATTGAAGTTTTAAGAGATCTTTACCTTTAATTACATCTCACATATATAAAACAGCATTATTCTTACATAGGAAGTTGATCTAGTGTTTCAGATCTTTCCTGATCTATGTAATAGATCTATGTAATAGATCTTTCCTGATCTATTAGCACAGCCTTCATAATGTATTTCTATGGGTCACTTTTTCCATGTGTAGCTCCCCTTTCATCTACTTTTGTGGAATTTCTTGGTGCCTGGTGCCTCCCTGTTTTGTGCACCTTCCCTTTAAGACAAATCTCATTTCAAGATTAACTAAGTGAAGTATCTCAAGAATGGAAAAACAAGCATCACATGTACTCACCAGCAAATTGGTATTAACGGATCAACACCTAAGTGGACATATAGGAAAAACATATATCAGGTGTTGGGCAGATGGGAGGGGGGGAGGAGGGGATGGGTATATACAAACATAATGAGTGAGATGTGCAACGTTTGGGGGATGGTCACGCTTGAAGCTCTGACTCAAGGGGGGAGTTGGGGCATGGGCAACATATATAACCTTAACACTTGTACCCCCATAAAATGCTGAAATAAAAAAAAATTTAAAAATCACTTACTTACATGTTACTATTTATTCAATTGTTATATTTTATCTGCTAATATTGCATGCATTTATAAGTGTATGAGTTTTGTGGAATTAAAATCCATCATTGAAGAAATCCCAGGCATTACTTAGTGGGAATTTCCTTATAAAAGTTCATCCCTTTCAGGAGTCTCAGATAAAAAGTCCAGAGCCAGCTGTAAGTTAATGAGAATAAAACAAATTATCAACACTATGCATCGAAGCTAATTTTGATTTAGCACTGTGCTCATGTAAGAATGTAATTATTCCTTCTTTCTTCTGAGGAGTCTTTTTTGAGGAGAAATTCCATAGCATGCATTAAGGATCAAGTACCAGAAGATGGCAGCAAAGGATTTACCACCCAGAGACAGAGCATGCACATGATCACTACTCTTGGGATACTTCATTGTGCTTAGAGTGATTACAAAATACATTGATAAACAAACTATTCATTACATCATTTCGTGAAGCTTTTTGAATGATTTAGATTTTTCTTTATATGAGAAAGTTTGAAACTGACTAGTTTAATGTGACAAGAAAATATGTTTAAATAAATATTTTCAAAAGACAATATAAATTCACCTCCCAATTTATTCCCTCTTCTCCCAAACTCACCCATAATCATTGCTAATAGTTAAGATTCCCTTCAATACTTTTTTTCCTGTGCATATAAAA